AATCACATAAAAAATTTATTATTACATTTTTAGATCAAGGTTACTGATGGCAAGGTAGCGAGACGGGGAGGGTATCTCAATATGCATACCCGTCCAGCACTAAGCGCGGGTCAGGTCGGATAATACCCATGCATGTACGGGACGGGTGGGTCGACCCAATCTTAATTATATGTTGTTTGAAAAAAAAAACATCGATATTTAACTGTTTTATAAAAACACATATAGAAAGTACTTTATAAATGCATAAGAAATATAGTAGAAAAACATAATTGAGTCCAAATAGTTGAAAGATAAAGTCTCAAAAATACTTTAGGACAAAGATATAATTTTGGAAAGACTAAAAGAGGAGAAATACATGTAGATATTGATGCAAAAAATGATAGAACTGGACGAGACGAGGAGTACGATCTCCCTGTTCGAAAGCAATCATCTTTATCATTGTAAAATACGTATAAACCCATGACGGGGATGATTAATTAAATTTTATGCAGTTAGATCAGAGAACACTTAATAATTAATCTCATGTATACAACGACCTCCTTGTTCCAAAGCAATCGTCTTTTATCATTGTAACATACCGTACTTACATACCAACAATTGGGGACTTACATACCAATAATTGGGGATGATTAAATATTTCTGTAGTTAGATTAATGAACACTGAATAATTAATTTCCATGTAACTTGGCAAGTGTACAACAATCACCATCATGACGAAACAAGAAACCCCCAAGGGCTTGAAAAATAATAAATTGCTGTCAATGTTGTTCCTTAAACTATCATTTATTATGAGTCCTTTTTGAAAACCACGAACCATTTAATTAGAATTCCACATAACAGAAAAAAACAAAGAGGGAAGAAGAAGAAGAAGGAGGAAGAGACATGGAGAGAGGAGATTGCTTTGGGATGGTTGGTGCTTCATTTGGTTACATGCATCCGTTACAAGGAAAGCAGAGGGGTTAAGTTAAGAGGGTGTTTTCCATGTTTGGGAAGGAAGGGAAGCAAGTTCACAGGTCCACCAACTGGTAGTTGTCTTGCGTAATAAAACCAGCCCGAAGACAAGAAGAAATCAGTTGACGGCAGCAACCTAAAAACAAACAATTTATTAGAACAGCAACCACCACGCTGCCGGATGCCTGCCTGGCCTTCCCCAAACACAGCTAACTAAGTGCCCCGCACTAGGAATGGCAATGGGCAGGTTCGGGGCGGGTATCTCGATACCCATACTCGTCCCGTGGCAGGTCGGATCCGAGTCGGGTAATTTATCATGAGGCGCGGGTCGGGGCAGGTCGATCCATTGGGTATATAATTTATGCGAAAAATATTAGAATTATTCATTATTTTAATTAAAAGACCAAGAAAGAAACCATAATATGATAAAATGTAATTAAATTATTGGAGAAATTGAGTTTTTAACTTATTTACAACTTTATTATACCTAAAATATGATGTAATAAGAGAAAAATTCTAAGTAATTTGACTAAGATTACATGTAACTTAGGCCATAACGGGTCGAGAATGGGGCGGGTCAGGACAGGTCGGGTCGATGAGAGGTATCATTCCCGCCCCGCCCCAAAACAGATCAAACAGGTCGGATAAATCGGGTCAGGTCGAAATTACCATCCCTACCCCGCAGCCAGCACGACGCCAATCCACGACCAGCCTCTCCCACAATTTGTTTTGCATGACCCGCCTCAAAATAGATCAAACAGGTCGGATAAATCAGATCAGGTCGAAATTGCCATCCCTACCCGCAGCCAGCCCGACGCCAATCCACGGCCAGCCTCTCCCACCATTCGTTTTTGCTTTCTTGTGGTGCGGACACTGAAAACTACTACGTGGAAGTGGGAACCCTAGTTTCAACTTATTATTCTATGCTGCATGGTGATGTTCATGTTACTGTTAAAATTGTCATACGAGCTAATTAATTAGAATATGGAGTGTGCACCTAATCTTTCAGGCGTCAACTATAGCTGGTTTGGTAAGTTTTCGACAAAATTGCTCAAGGATTCGGATTCTGAACGTGTCTTTACACATTTGAAGTTTTACGAATGGAGCCCGACAAAAAAAAAATTCAATTTATCCTGAAAATTTACATCCAACATGTCGATTCGTCTTTCGGATTTGGACCTATTGGTTTACAGGATTATAATTAAGATCCTTTTACTTATTTTTTTTTTTTCCTGTGAAAAAATCATTTAACGGTTCAGTACAACCTAGTATATCCAATCAGCTACTAATTAGTCGGGATAACTCAACTATTTTAGGAAGAAATTTAGGAATTGTCTTATATCGTTTTAGTATGACAGCCTAATGTCTTTTATTTTTTTTTAAGGTACGAGTAGCGTGTATAAATTTAAAATGCATACTAATTAACAATTTGGTCGTCTCAAGTGACGAAACTTAAATATGATATACATATAGATATAGTGTTCTCTATTAATTTGATGATTATATGTTTTGGGAGAGAGGGGTCCCTGATTGTTGTTGATTAGGAGGAGTAAAATAACAGAGTTGGTGGTGCCCTATTGGAGCAATTTGCGTAGGCTTGTTGCTGGGGAACGAAAAAACATTTGATATAATACTATGACTATTGACTGGTCGTTTCCCCAGAATATAATAAGGCCTCTCTTATTAACAACCACAAAAATGTCCTCGAGTATTTCTTGTGTATGGATTGTTCCATATTTAACTCAATATAAAATTATGAAAAAATAGTAAACTTAATAAAAGTAAGTGAGCATGGAAAACATAGTAGTCAGTGATTGTGGTGTAAAATTTTATTTGAATTGATCAATTGATTCTAGATGTTGAGGAATAGGTTTTATATGACATGCGAAAAGTGTAAGACAATAAATATGTTTTCTTTTTATCCGGTGTTATCGTGTTTCTTCCAATCGTGATGTGTTTCATTTCAATTCTTTTTAATATTACTATATAAATTTCTCTCTCTTTTTTAAGTTCTTCATCAAATTAACATAGCTAGTATTCACTATCCACAGGCGAGCATCACATTCGAAGAATTCGGCTTCGTTAATCATGCCATCATTTCTTCCATTTTTCCTTATTTAGAAAGTTCATTTTGTTATTGGTCGATATATAAAAACGGAACTATCAATTGTGTTCTATTCAAATAAAGTATCATTTAAAAGAGCAGATCTCTCACCCTCAAGAATAACTTGGGAGCCGTCCCCGAGCACCGGATTCAGAGTAAAGTCCATGTATGACTCGCTGTTTGGTGAACAATACAGCAGTGGAATTGTGTTCCCTGCTAAATTTGTTTGGAAGCAGCCTGTGCCGTTCAAAGTCTGTGTGTTTGTTTGGTTAGTGTTCCACAAGAAGATTCTAACTCAAGACATGCTAAAGAAGTGAGGATGGATGCTCCCAAACCGGTGTACCCTTTGCTACGAAGAGGAAGAGAATGCGGATCATCTTTTCTTGGGTTGCAGGTTCTCGCGTATGGTGTGGCAAGTAATGAGGTGTTTTGTGATGCTTCCTATTAATCGTGATGGGGATATATCTGTTCTAATCGGTAGGTGGCAGCAAAAGGAGCCTGGTTGTCCTCGAGAGTGGTGTTCCAGGGTGTTTGTGCACGCCCTGTGTTGGCGACTCTGGTTGGAAAGGAATGGTAGGATATTTCGAGACAAGGAGGATTCAGTGAATGTGGTCTGCCTTCGAATCGCTCGTGCTATGGCAGACTGGTTGTGTGCGAATGGGAAGGTTGACAGAGTCATTGCGGAGGATTGGATGAGGAAGGTGAAAGAGCAGCTAGTTCCTAGAGTCGTGCAGGAACCGCCACAATGATCTTCTAGTACCCAGTGGTGTTTCTGGTCTATCCTCATTTGCCTTTTTGGTTTTGCTGTTTGCTGATGTGCTGATGTTCGGCTGCTGCTGCTGCTGTTGTGCTGTCGATGACGCTGCTGTTGGCGTTTGGCATTTGGCGTTTTTGTTGTATTTTGGGGGAGCTGCTGCGTTTGCTGTTGCTGATGACTTAGTGATGCTCCCGTGGCTTTGTTGCTTCTGCTTCTTCGGCTCCTTTTTGTTTTGTTTTGATCTGTATTTGCTTTCAGTGTTTTAGTGTTCTTGTTCTTGTTCTTTTTGCTTTTTTTGTCTCCCTAACAGCTGCTTTGGCTGGTTCTTGTTGAGCCATTGTGGACTGTATCCTTTCCTTTTTCCTTTCTCCTGGTTCTTTTAATTAATAAATGATTTCACCTTTACCAAATAAAGTATCATAGTCTACCTTGACTTGTGTCCGGAGCACAACTTTCAACTCAACTTGCCACCAACATAAGTCTGAGTATCGAGTTCAACATAAGGCTCAGTATGAGTATCTACTTCACCCTATCCTAATTCTCGTTCCTAGATATCATACAACAATTTCATACCAGTTCTCAGCCCACAATTTCCTCAAAGTTTTGAGTTTGTAATTACTCCACACCTTTTCCTTATATAAACATTTTTAATTATAGTTATGATTACCATTAGGAATTAGGTGCGAGGTGTTAAAATCTCCACACACTCTCCTTTAATAATTTTGTTAAATTGTATTAGTGGTTATTGTCAAAATATGCACTAAACTATATACAAGTTGAATTTGAGTCTTTGAGGACTTCTTATATAATCTTAGGTAAAATTCCACACTGGTAAACCTCAAACCTAGAGCTCCCCTTTTCATATATTTTAAAATAAATCCCTTCTCTTTTTGTTTTTCTTGTTGAGCTTGCCAAGGATTTGTTGAGGAACAATAATTAATTGGGTTGGTGTCAATGTTTCCAATGATAAGGAAGAGGGGGAGGGACAATATCTCTTGGGATTAGTGTTTTTGTGTTTTTTTTTTTTTGTCTCCCTCTCCGCCAATGGCTTCTTCGATCACGCGCATTCCATCTTCACTTACCACCCACCATTTCCCTTCTTCTCTAAGGTATTTCTTTCTTTCTTTCTATCTTCCCCTGCTTCCTGCTTCTTCTCCTCCTCCTCTGCTGCTTCTGTTTCATCATCTCCATTCATTTGGTCTGACTCAAAAAACATAATAGACCGCAAAGGGTTTCTTCTGAAATCTCATCCCTTTCCAACTCTCTCTCACATAAGTTCACCGTCTCCATAACCAAAGACCATGGTGATGACGATGACGATGATGATACTTCCGATCGTTGAAATCTAGAGACACACAGTACCAAACAGTTTGTGTTTCTGGGATGTTGTTTTTCTTCCTTTGGCCTCTTGGGGTTGGTTTAATCTTGAAGGGTTTCTGGTGGGTGTTTGGTGGGCTCTTCTTCTTTCTTCTTAATTAATTCTCAAGTCTGCCATCCATGGTGTGCTAGCTCTGTTTCCTCTGTTTTTCCTCTGTTTCAGTCACTTCACAATCAACGATAAGTTGCTAGGTTCCCACATAATGATTTCGGTATCATCTCAATACTTGACTTGCTACTAAGGCTTAGGATTTTTTTTTCTATGTAGAAATCATGATTAGCTCATAATAGTCAAAACCTAGGGGGGTAATTGATTAGAGAACCATTCACTTACACATAAGAGTTTGTCCGAATTTCGTTCCTTTGTATTAGTGTTGATATGATTGTACGCGTTATGATAACGTCTGAAGTTGATTCATTTGGAAACCCTTTTCCTGTTTTCTCATCAGGATTTGTCACCAAGATCATTATGACCCCTAAGAAGGAAGTATTAGTCTGATTCCCCCTCAATTTTAGAGACTAAACAAGGAAAATACAGAGCAGAGCAGCAAGCTAGCTCTCAGAATTCAGATAATGGCTACATATTATTCAACAATCAGCAGCAATCCAACGGACAACTTGCAGGCACCAACTTCATCATCATGTCAATTAGAAACCAATCTCCCCAATAATTCCCACCTCAACACCATCTCCATCTCTTCATACTCGGACATCCTCTCCGGAGCCACCACCTCTCTATCTCCCCACCATCATCACGCCAATGAATTCTCAACCTCACAATTCGGGACAGCACGCAACAACGAGATGATGTTCATCCCGCCCATAAGCAGCGAGGCCCCGTCGCCAGATTTGCATCCACACGATGTGGATGCAAATCTAGCTGCCGCAGAGGACCACCAACAGGCAGGGTTCAATTTCCAAGGTGGGCTCTCTCTGAGCCTCGGCACCCAGATGGGAGGTGTCGAGGCTCCATCGTTTCATCACTATCAGTACTCCGTCTCAGAGCCCGAAGAGGAGCTCATTCTGCCTGCTTCGTTGGTTAAATGGAACAACCACAACAACCATGGAGGAGGAGGGGATGTGATCAAGATGGAAGGTGGTCCGATGAACAATCCTACCGATCATTTCTTGCAGGGGAGTGAGAGTAACAATGCTGTTGAAGTGTATGAGACGTTCGGGTATGCGAATGTTTCGCTGTTCAATTCGAGGTACCTCAACGCGACACATGAGTTGCTGGACGAGGTTGTTAATGTGAAGTATGCCCTCGCGGCGAGTGGTGAAGGGAACAAATGCTCGGATGGTAAAGAGGGCAACGAACGGGTTGCATCGGTTGAGTCCGGTGGTGGCAACTCGTCCTCGACCGAGTTGTCACCATCCGAAAAACAGGACTTGCAGAGTAAAAAGAGCAAGCTTGTGTCCATGATCGATGAGGTAACAAAAATTTTCAGTTTCTTTTATGTGACTTGTGTCACACCTTATCTGACTCAAAATTATTATTCGATTATCGAAATCTTGTACATGTTCTAGGTGGACAGGAGGTACAAGCAGTACTACCACCAAATGCAAGCTCTGGTCACATCCCTGGATATGGTCGCCGGCAACGGCGTAGCTAAATCGTACACAGCTCTCGCGCTGCAGACGATCTCCCGGCGGTTTCGCAGCCTCCGGGATGCAATCGGCAGCCAATTAGACGCAATCAGGAGGAAGCTAGGCGACCCAGAAGCAGCAGCATCCCGCTGCATCCCGCGTCTTCGGTACGTGGAGCAGCAGCGAGCGCTTCAGCAGCTCGGCGTCATGCGCCACGCTTGGCGGCCTCAGAGGGGCCTCCCTGAGAACTCCGTCACAGTTCTCAGGGCTTGGCTCTTCGAGCACTTCCTCCACCCGTATGTCAAAACACAGGATTCGTGTTTAATCTTACATTTTTTTGGTAGTTATAGCGGTTGATCGTGGGTTTGTAAATGTTGGTTTGTGTTGTCCAGGTATCCAAATGATGCAGAGAAGCTGATGCTAGCAAAGCAGACAGGGTTGAGTAGAAACCAGGTGGCCAACTGGTTCATAAACGCCAGAGTGCGGCTATGGAAGCCGATGGTGGAGGAAATGTACAAAGAAGAGTGCGGCGGGTTCGGCGACTCAGACGCCAACTCCAAGTCGTCAAACGACGAAGCAAGCAGAATCCACGGCGGTGCCACCCTCGATCAAAATCAATACCAGCGACACGATCATCATCATCATCATCATCTAGTAGTCGATGAACACGATCTCCAAGACACCGCGGTGACCTCATCGCCATCATTAGCCGCCGATCACCACCACTTCCTCGATCATAACTCCAATTCAATGATCAGTTTCCACCAGGAGACGATGCAGCCACAATCGCGACCGGAGATCGACCACGACCAGGACCAGGGGCTACGACATTATGTGGTGGCGGAACAGAGTACTCTGCCTCTCAACCTAAATGCAGGGGATGGCAGCTTGATGTCCGCGGCGGTCCAATACGGCGGCGTTTCGGAGATGAACGCCGGACTACTTCCTGCTACATTAGGAGGAACCCACCACCGCCATGTATCTCTGGCGTTGGGATTGCAGCACAATGGAACCTACGGCAGCGACGGTGGTGGTGAGATGGTGGATTACCATAATTGCTTGGATGGCAAGGCACAGGAGCAACATCACAGGTTTGGGAGCACGGTACATCTGTTGCATGATTTTGTAGTGTCTAAGAACCCTTGCTTCTAGGTCAAGGTAACGCAAGTTATCAGGAGAATTGAAGGGAGGTTGGTTGATGGTTTTATATTTCTTCGTTTTTTTTTCTTTTGCTGCAAAGGGAGTTTTCTGTACATACATGTAATGGTGGTGATATAATATGTTAATGTCTCTTTCTTTCCCACCACGACTTGTAACATATAGGAATTAGATTGGCGGAAGAGTATTGCAATCGGGTATACTTGTAAAGGTAGGAACAGAGGGAGAAATGTAGAACAGGGGGCTTTGTATACTTTCTGTTGTTGAATAAGGAAAGTTTGGTATACATATTGGTGACGATTTCAAGGTATTTTTCGACACATTGAGGTCATCGCACTAGTAGAACGACTTAATGATACCAACATAGTATTGTAACTTCACGATGTCACATTCGAGGTCCACTCAGCTTGAATTTCAGAGCTAATGGAATTTTTTGACACATTGAGGTCATCGCACTAGTAGAACGACTTAATGATACCAACATAGTATTGTAACTTCACAATGTCATATTCGAGGTCCGCTCAGCTTGAATTTCAGGGCTAATGGAATTTTTGGACACATTGAGGTCATCACACTAGTAGAACGACTTAATGATACCATTATACCAACATAGTATTGTAACTTCACGATGTCATATTCGAGGTTCGCTCAGCTTGAATTCTAGGGCTAATGGAATAACACTGTAAATGTGTCTGAAAGAGTTAGCAAAATGTAACTCATAAGAAGAAGTCAATCTATATACTATGAAGTAAAAAATACGTTCAATTCGGAGCTCAACAACTATTAATTAGAAAATCAACCAAAGCCGAAGCAAAAGACGGAAGAACGTAATATCTAGTTTCATTGAATCCTTTGAAGAGAGCGAGAGTATTCTCCATTGTTTGTCTGTTCAAACTCGAGTAGAGATGAGTAAACGATACAAAACCAAACACCAACAAAGATGTCGATTTTAGCACAACAAAAGTAAAATGACAAAAAGATGGACCACTAAAAGGTTCTCATGTGAGCAAGGTTGTCAAACTAGTTTAAGTTTTTGAATCGGTTAAGCAAGTGGTTTGAGGTTTAATGGTCTTATCGACGTCTTGACCTATTTGAAACGTTTTATACATTTTATAAATATATATACAAATAAGGTAGTAATTCAAAATTTTAATAATTAATGCTGTCAAACCTGTTTAAGTCATTTTATACATTTTTTAAATATATATACAAATAAGGTTGCAATTTAAAAATTTATTGACTGAAATCAAATTTACCTTATATGTAAATATTAAAAACTCATCTTCCATAAGAGAAAACCTACCCCCCTCCATCAAAGAAAGCATGGATCTCTCCACTGCTTTATTAATGTGGGATTCGCCTAAGGTGTTACATATGATCCCAAATGGAGGTTTATGTAACCCATTAGGCGAATCCCACATCAACAAAGCAAAAGAGAGATCCATGGTTAATAAGTAAGAAATCGACCTTAACTGACAATACGCGTTTTTAGGTGAAGTGAAAGAGTTCTTATCAAAACCTCGAAGTCAAACGTGCTTAGTGTAAAGCGCTGTAAGGATGGGTGACCTTATAAGGCGTCATCTTGATAATCACCCGCTCAAAGCAAAATCCGTGAAAGTCTAGACCCAAAACGGACAAGCTGCGGAATGTTATAGAAAACCCTAGCTTTCATGTTCTAAATCCATACTGGCTGAATTGGTAAGACCAAAACGATTCTAGTTGTCATCAAATGTTACTCCTCGATCATGATAAACAATTCCATAATGTAAAAAGTTAACAAAATTAAATACAAGGAGCGAATTTGCCATGCGGTTTCCTGCAAGCTTCGTGGATGTTTTGTCTCCATTCATCAGGGAGGCAGACATGAGCAGTTTCTCTGTACTAGGGGCTGGCTGTGGTCCAAACTGCCTTAACCATTCTTGCTCATGGTTACTTGGATTCCACGCTTTCTTTCCCTCACAGACAAGTCCCTTTCAAACAATCTTCCCACAAGATCATCCATCCATATTCTTTCCCTGCCCATGTTTCTAGTTAGGGGAAGTGTAGAGCCCTCCCTCTTGGACATAAATAACCTACCCAAGTTGCTTCCCTATGTTCTAATGAGCTGGCCAGGCACCCATTTCTGTGAAAAAGGGAACTCTTGTGGCTGAAAGCAATAGCCTACAGTACTGGTGGTGTGGAGTGATTGTAGCATATAGGTAAAAGAAAGGGGTTGGTTCGAAACAACTTGCGAGTTTCGGGTTATGCGGTTTTGGCTCTTAGGCCACTGTGATCGAATCATTTTGTCATTGTCAATGTTTCAAATCAAAATCTAATACTACCGAGAGATTTATTAGTTTGAGCATGATTATACCAATTTATATCGTTGACATATGGGATCGGAGATTTCATAGTCATTGTAACATACCGAGGGTAATAGATTATAATAGGTTCATCATTTTGAATTGTGAGTCATTATATATTATCGGTTGGATCTGTTAGTCATTTATAATAGTCAAATTTGACATATAACTCACAAACACTAAAGAGGGAAATTTTTGGAAATGAGTCATGGTGGGTAGTTTCAGATTAAAATCATTTTAGCAATTGGGCCGGTTCAAATGATAGTATATATCTTGGAACGATTGTTGACACTAAACTTTGAAGCTAAAGAGACTTGGGATGTGATGCATGTTAGCATCCATAATTCCATATAGCTACTGGACCAACCCTTTGAAGTTCAAATGATAATTTTGTTCACCTCGAGTCACTTTGAGCCATGGTTGACATCAGCCCAACATAGCTTAATCATAAGATCAAATCATTTTAGCAAAGCATGATTGTCAAATATGAAAAGAAGGACAATCTATTTCTTTTATGAATGTTGAAAACGAAACAACAAGACAGCTTTAATCGTATGAGGAAGTGAGTGGGGGGCTCTGTTTAAATCCCAGATCCTGGTGGTGAATAAACCAGAGAGTGACAACTGGAGGAGGCCAAAGGAACAAAAGATAGGCAATCATTGCATGAGAGCATTGTCCTGAGTTGAAGAGGAAAAAAAAAAACTAAAAAGAAATAAGAATAGAGCTTATATAATATAACCCAGAATCAGTCTCATCAGCACATCAATGAACAGAGCCAATAGGCAACAGCCCACAAAGACAGAACCCTTTTTGTTTGTATGACTGTGGCTGTGACTCTGTGGCTATTGTATTGGCCCCTTTTTCCATCCTTACTATGCTTCTCTCTCTCTATCTTGAGCCCAACAAGACTAGGAAGCACAGCATCATCGTCAAATCCGGCTCGAATCGATGGATTTAACTAGTCAAACCACGATTCAAGAGTCTAGTTAGCCTATCTGACTGCCATATGGTATTTGGAGTCGATCTCGGAATTAAATCAAGTTATTTTGAATTCAACCATTCGAAATCTCGACCCAATTGTCTCATGTCGAGCCGAATGTAACAACATCAAGCGAGTAACTTCCTTTGGAATGTGATCTCTTTCTACCTCATGCATTTTCTGCACTAAAGATAGTGACATTCAGAGTCCTCTCAACATCTCCAATGCATGATAGCAACATCTAACAGGGAAGAAAGGGTTAGATATTCCCATATGGTTACTGTCCCAGAAAGAGACAATCTTCAAACTGAGAGTGTGCAAAAGCTAGCCTGGCCCTTTTTTCATTTCAATTTCATAGATTGCAAAACAGGGAAAACCCCCATGAGATACACATACAATACACCATCAATCCCCCCCTTCTCTCTTCCTGTTCATGTGAAAGAAAGAGAAGAGTTCTTCTTTTATCATTGTTTTAAGGCTGAAGCCTGAAAGTATCCTTTTTTAGTCTCCCAAAGAAATGCAGCTTCCAGTCACTAAAGCTGAAGCCCACTGCTCCTATTGCTTTTGCTTGCTTGTTTTTTAATAGTCAGGGAAGTTTTTGGTTGGGGAAGGGGACCATTTTCTTACTTTGTCAGCTATTCCATTCTGATATTTTTATGCTTACACAGCCAATTAACCCTCACAATTTTTATAGAGGGCTCTGGCTATGTCTTCAGCTCTTGGCTGCTTAGATTTAGGCCTGGTCTGTTGCACACAGTCATATAGGGAAGCAAGAAAAGGGGAGAGAGAAAGAGAGCTCTTAGCTTTATTCTGTGTAGTTCACTAGTGTAAAGTGTAAAGGAAACAGAACAGAACAGAATTCACACAATAGTAGTATACTACTTTCACCTTCTGGCACTGGGTTTTCCCCCTTCATGCTTATTAAAGCTTGCTACTTTCCTTTCCATTTTCCTGTTTCTGTTGGAGGGTTCTCCTTAATTCATTGAGATTTTGTCAGTCCAATCAGTTGCAGAAGTTTTTTTTTGTTCTTCATACACTTGCATTGATCCTCCACTTTTTGGCCTTGTTTGTCAACAAATGCCATCACCCAACTTTACCTACTGATGCTTTCTTATCAATGGAAGCTCTTTGTTCATTGTAAGTCTGTAAGTCAAATACTTAGTTCCCCCACCATTTTGATGGATGGAAGAGCTCAACTTTTTTCTTCAGGAGGGGTCAAAAGTGTCATGCTTTAACATAATCAAGACTTTCATCATCTTCTGTTAGTTAGTAGTGTATCTTCTTTTCTAAGTCATGCCTAATAATGCAGCATCCCTTTTTCTGGTTCTTTGATTTCCAGTTAGCTTTTAAATTGCAATACTTGGACATGACTGCACTTCTGGTTGCTGAAAGTCAAATCCTTTATGTCAAAAGATCAAACCCTTTCTCCTTCTACTTCTAAATGATCTACCAACTCCTTTTTCCTTTTGTCATAAAGTCCTGTAAGGTATCTCAAGTCTTAGTCCCCATGTTTGCTTACAAAACCAGTATCTCTTGAACTATCAAATCGATCCAGGCACCCAACCCAGAATCTCCCAATATTTTCCTTTTCAGATGATCATTTCCATTGAAACTCCATCCCCAAAAACACCCTTCTTCTGATTCTTGTTCCTTCTTCTAAGCTTTACTATGGTTTCTCAAGACTCTCCTCCACATCAATCCTCTAGCATGCTACGCCAGTTCATTCAATCCCCAAACCAGTTAGAGAACCAAAACCTCAACACATTCCCTCACTCTCTTGGCCTAATGCCTTCCATTCATTCGTTTGAAGATAGAATCTCGCGGTTCTCGGCCTCTCAGGAATCAGAGATGAGCCACACCAGGCACTTCATGGACCTCCTTGGAGCAGCTGCAAATGAGACCAACAATCACCATGTCCAAAGGCTCTCACTTTCCCTTGGCTCTCAAATGGGTTTCCCTCCTTCTCATGAAGTCCAATTCAGACAGAGTAGTAGCTACCAAAGTGACTACTCTTTCAACTGCAACAACAACAACAATACTGCCTCCTTTGCTCCTTCATCATCTTCTTACGGGACCGAATCGTTCTTCCTTGCCATGAAGAACTCAAGATATCTAAGACCAGCCCAATCACTACTCCAAGAAATTGCAAGAGTTGGTGGGAAATCTGTTGAGATTAACAATGAGAAGTATGTAATGAATCTGATTCAAAGCAGGAGAAGAGGAGGAGGGCTTGCTTCTGAGCTGAGAGCAGAATTATGCAGCAGCATGAATGGCAATCTGATGACACCAGAAAGACAAGAGCTTCACATCACACTCTCAAAGCTCGTAGCTTTACTTGAAGAGGTTGGTGCTTCTCGCTTCTTTTCTTTCTTTCTTGGTGGTTTAACCAAAGGGTTAATGGCATTGTTTTACTTGTACTATGCTGTTTTACACAAATACATTATGATCTAGTTTAGTTAGAATCTACTTAAACTTAGTAATCATGCCCTAAATCACTCACCGCCTGTTCTTTGTGTTCAGATTGATGTGAGGTATGAGAAGTACTACCAGCAATTGGAAGAAGTGGTGTCATCATTCGAGCAGATAGCGGGTTTAGGAGCTGGGAAATCTTACACGGCGTTAGCGTTGCAGGCCATGTCGAGGCATTTCTGCAGCTTGAGAGATGGGATTGTGTCGCAGATCAATGGCGCGAGGAGGAAGTTGTTGTCGAGTAATTTGTCTCATCATGTAAGCAATGGGATTTCGCAGCTGAGCCTGTTTGATGAAGAAGGGAGGCATCAGCATCAGGAGGCTGCAGGGAGATTGTCGCTGCAGCAGCTTGGATTGCTGCAATGCCAGAGGCAGCAATGGAGGCCCATCAGAGGGCTGCCTGAGACCTCTGTCGCCATCCTCAGATCTTGGCTGTTCGAGCACTTCTTGAACCCGTGAGTTAGTTCAATTTTGCTTTCCAAATCCTATCATCGCTCAGAATTCAGAAAGCTACGTTTTGTTTGGGAAGTTGTGATATTTAATGAGTTTTTCTTTTTCATTGAGTAGGGTAAGTAGTTGCTAAATGTTTGATATTTTAAGAATGGGTCACTAGAGTTCCCAATTAGCATCGAGAGTTTTAGTTCATATTATCGAAATAAATCCTTTTTAGTAACTATTGGGTAAAGAATTCGAATCACTAATTTAATTTAGGGGTCGTTTGGAGAATATGCATTTAAATCTACAGATTATCAACAATCTAAAGATTCTAACTCTTCGGATTGTTGAAAACAGATTTTAAAATGTTAATTGTTTGGTAACTGTGATTGTTAACAATCAAGTAAAATAAAAAATTCATTTTATATTAAATAACATGTTTATCCTTAATAAAAAATTAGAGTGGTTCGAGAAATATAAAAAAACTTTGTTGATAAATATATTTCATGTGATAAATAAATAAAAGGAAGAGAAAAATTAGGAGAGAAAAAATCTCACGAATCAAGATACAGAATCTCTCTGGTTATGAGAGATTTGATATCCGCAGATTTTAGAGATTTGAAATCTCTAAAGCTAGAATCCATAATACAAAAAGTAACAAAAAAAACATAACTTTCTACAAAATCTACGGATTCAATGAATTCATGTCCTGAATCCTGTTCTCCAAACGACCCCTTACTTCGAGATAAAATGGTTTGTTAATGTCAACTAAAAAGCTTGTGTTGGGTTTTCCAAATTATTTACTTAGCCTAGTTAACATATTTAGACAAATTGGTGAACAACATAATGCGTTTGCATGAAGTGGTTATTATGTTTATTATTTCAAACTTAAGCAATAGTGTCATTAGGACGGAGTAACCTAACTAACCTCTACATTTTCTCCTTCCCTCTCCTCTTTCATAGTATAGATAATCAATTAATTAATTAATGTGGAATTGTAGGTACCCCAATGATTCCGAGAAGCTAATGTTGGCGTCACAAACCGGGCTGACAAAAAATCAGGTGATCTTTTTAGTCATACTTTGACAACTAACTGATGTCGATCATCAGAGCAGTGAGCTTGAAAACGCATTGTTAACAGGTTTGTTGCTTGGTGATAGGTGGCTAATTGGTTCATAAATGCGAGAGTGAGACTATGGAAGCCAATGATAGAAGAAATGTACAAAGAAGAATTTGCCGAGTCTTCAGAAGACTCAAATCCATCACATCAGGGAGCGAACAATCGATCTAGCCGAGCAACAGAAGCTTTTGCGAGGGATGATCATTCAGATGATTGAAGAACACCCGACCCCATCCTTGTTATATTCCAATCTAGTATTCTTTAATCGAAGTGCCACCCGAATGCTGGTTCTTTTTAGGTATTCACATTATGATCACTCTGAAAACTCCAAGCTGCTAATGCGCGACACGTATTAAGAGTTCTTTTTCGCCCTTCTCCCAATTTATAACAAGAGAGCAGTTGCATAATATCTAGGAATAATTGAGTCTCATGGGATAAATATTTGTATTTCATTCCTTTCGATTGTTATTAGATCCTGACTAGATATAACGTGGATTAAATTGAATTTCGGCCAAACCGAATCGGATAGACACTCAACTAAAGAAAATCGGATATTACCAAACTACCAATTCAGTATTTTAGTTTAGTAACTCCACAGTCCGCACACTAATAAAAATATTTAGGATCCCACCGTTCACCCAAGAAGCGTGCAATATCAGCTCCAGAATATTTTCTTCCGCTGCTCCACCAATCACCATCATCCCCTCCAACTATATTCCAAAATCCATCCGATAAGAGTAAACAATTAAAAAGAAAAGAACCCAACAAACTAATTAGTAGTAGCACTGATAAAATGGCGGTATTCTGATAATCCGGCGAATCACCTAATCAAACCCGCTTCTTCTTCCCCACATCCGCTCCCCGGAACCACACCATGACCAGTTTGGCTGCTCCGTCGCGCAAGGTTTTTCTCCGCTCTCTCCTTTTTCCCGATTCTCTCTATTGGTTTTGATTGACGAGATGGGTTTTTTTCATTTTTGTTGGTTTCCAAAATTTGGCGTAGGCTTTAAGCAGGATCGCTTGTAGCAGACTGCAGAAGGAGCTGGCCGAGTGGCAGCGCAATCCGCCGGCGGGGTTCAAGCACAGGGTCACTGATAACCTCCAGAGGTTCTCCTTTCTACTCGACTTTTTTTTTTCTTTCTCCTTTTTCGAGCTGTCGATTGAAAGAATTGTACGTTGATTTTGGTATTGGATTCGGTTTGTGAAGATGGGTGATCGAGGTCAATGGAGCTCCGGGGACTCTGTATGCGAACGAGATGTATCAGCTTCAAGTTGATTTCCCTGAGCACTACCCCATGGAAGCTCCTCAGGCGAGTTTTATGATTATTTCCGCGCTGCAGTCTAAATTGTTGGTCAATCTGCGGGTTTGTGTTCAGTAATGGCGTTTTTATCTATGGTGTTTGCATTTGAAACAGGTGATTTTCATCCCACCGGCTCCTATGCATCCTCACATCTACAGCAATGGCCATATTTGTTTAGGTATCTCTCTCTCTCTATTTTCTTCTGCCTGCAAATTATCAGTTATGACATGTATGGCACATCCAGTGAAGTTTGGCTCATTGGAGCAGCTGGGGTTTTAGATTTGCTTTATTATGAGTTTGCATCTTAGGGTATAAGCATTATAGTTTTCTATGGTTCTGACCCGGGCTTCGTCTTTCAATCATTGGTCAACCTTTTCACCACTGCTGAATCTAGTGCACGGCTAGTGAATCGACCTGGGTCTATCAGCTGAACCTGACTGTTAATACTTGGCATTCTTGTTCATTGCTAGTTGATGAATTGCATCCACCTATGAGTTTAACTCAGTGAGTAGTTTGAGACTGTGGCTGAAGTTTGACCTGCTAGACCAAGAAAGATGCACACTTGAGCAATGAAACCTGCATAAGCTTATCAATATTATTAGTTGTATGGTTTTTCCACAATGCTTTGGTTTTCCTGGGCAAAGAGTCATCTTTAGCAACTTCTTGTGAGAAGTGGGGGAAATAGTTCTGTCATACTTCTTTCAGTAGTATCTGATTGTTGTTCATGATCTAAACTTGTGTTTTGATTGTCCTTTGTAGATATCCTGTATGATTCATGGTCTCCAGCAATGACTGTTAGTTCCATCTGTATCAGCATTCTCTCCATGCTATCTAGTGCAACTGCAAAGGTTGGTTCGTCTGATCCTGCAGCCAATCCTCTAAACCTTCTTTACCATTATCACTGTTTGCCTGTCCTATTACCATATCTAGTCCTCAATTCACTTGACCCGCTACCTACTCCACCATCATGCAGCAACGCCCTGCTGACAACGACCGTTACGTGAAGAACTGCAAGAGTGGGAGATCTCCTAAGGAGACTCGATGGTGGTTCCACGACGACAAAGTCTAGCTTGTTTGACAAACTAAATGAGATCTAACAATTACTTGCATTACCACCTGTGTATACTGAAAGAAACAGAGGTTTGATGAACTTATGTGGTAGCTTGTGATTGATGGAAACAGGTTCAGAAGTTGGTTTTGCTTTCTACTAGTCATAGAGCAACCTGTTTCTTTATTTACTTTTTTTTACTGAGCTCTCCTTTCAGTTGTTGTCAAGCAACTGTAAAAAAGGATGAGAATTACGTACTAATGAACCTTCCGTCAGTAAGCATTCTTTGACATGCAAGAACGGTCGCTATACACCGTCGACCGTCTCCACGATACAGGTGCGCCTTCCGTTGCATGCAGACATTGAGCATAGTCAAATGGCCAGATAACAAGAAAAATCTTCCTCGTAGAATTCCAATTCCTTGACACGCAAGAAACGGTCGCTATACCCCGTCCCCAACCATTAACCATACTGATGCTCCTTCCATTGCCTATAGATTCCGGAACAAGAAACTTCCCCCTCGTAGAATGGCTCGCCTCAACCCTTTTGTAAGGCTGGAAGAACATCGAGGGGACAGGGAGCATTGATACGATCGTAAAGAAACCTAATTTACAATTCAAAACCGCTCTCCCATGTCCCATCTAACATTCTTAGCTAGTGGAGGATCCAAAGGAAACTCAAACATTTTCTCCATCCAAATATCTTCCTCTTCCACCATTATGATTTAGTTTCAGTTTTATCATTGGGATGGTGGTCACTGGTCAGGACAAGCAAGAAGAAGCGCCGGACGGATGAGCTATCAGAAGGAGAATGAAGGAAGTCGCAGATAAACCCCTCAACCGCCGGGGTTTAGATAGCGTCACAACCCCTATAGGGGTTGTGATTTTCGCTTCCCCATTTACAGCCATAGATCCCCCGTTCTCTTGATCTGGCGGCTGATATAAATCAGGGGTAAAAACGGGATGCGCCGCACTGGATCCGCTCTCTCCCCACTCCACGTGTGATGACACGCGATCGTCGGCTTTGAAGGGGATGGTTTTCCGGAGGCAAATTAGCCACTTTCCCCGGTAAAAACCGTTCGCCTACCATCATCCCTCATCCCTTTCCTCCATCTGCTACCAAAACCCAGAAGAAGAAAAAACCCTCGCCTCCGCCGCAGATAACGTTGTCGGCGGTTTCCTTTTCCGCCGCAAAAAACAGTTCGCCAACCATAATCCCTCTTCCCTTTCCTCCGGCTGCTACCAAAACCCCTAAGAAGAAGAAGGGAAAGCCCCTTGCCTCCGCTACAGATAGCGTTTTTCTCCGCCGCATCCAGCTCGCTTTCTGTCTCCGGTGATTTCGAAGGGTGGTTCGTCGAGAGTGTAGGTAAGTCAGCTCAGCTCTATTTCCTACACTCCTTTATTTCGGATTCTCGTCGTTTGAAAATTATGCTCGGTTGATTTTCCATTGACTGGGTTCAACTGGTCGTCATGCACCAGTTTTCATGCTATAAACTGATATTCGGAAACCCTCATTTCAATGTTGTTTGCTATTCCAGTGCAACGCCGGACAATCTGCCGCCGGCGAACCTGACTACGGCGGTTGAAGACAGAATAGGATCAAGTGATAGGTGAGGTCTTAGTATCCGTACAAGTTTTCGTTATCCAACTGGCACGTTGGGTTCGGCTCATGCTGTATTTCTTGTTCTCCTTGTTTGTTGCATCATGCATGTATAATGCAGTGGTACTTTTAATTGGTATCACTGTGTTAGTGGTATTGGTAGTGGTATTGGTACAGACTCTAGTGGTAGTGGTACCAATCACAGTAGCCGTACATGTACCAGTACAACATGTGATCCTGGTACTAGTAATTTTATTTGTACATGTAAAAGTACAACTATATCTAGTACCTCTGTTTGAATGATTCAGTTTTGTAAAGTTTAATCAATATGTCTACAAATTTTCGTTATCGACAAAAGTTAAACATTAATAGTAGGCCAGTCTGCAATTGGTATTGTAGAATTGATTCATTGTGTTAGTGGTATTTGTAGTGGTATTGGTACAGACTCTAGTGGTAGTGGTACCAAGCTCAGTAGTCGTACATGTACCAGTACAACATGTGATCCTGGTACTAGTAATTCTATTGGTACATGTAAAAGTACAACTATATCTAGTACCTTATGTTTGAATCATTCATCTAATTGGTATTGTAAAATTTATTCAACATGTCTAACAATTGTAGGTTGGTTATTTTGGTACCAGGAATGGCGAGAACAAAGATTCCATGCGTCGTGTCGACGACAAAAGACCTACCGGTAGAAGGAGACCATAGAGGAAAACAGCCTGTTACGTACGCCTCTCGGCAGGTTGTGATCCATGAAGGGGAGTCATCTAAATCTGGTTCGGGTCCAAGTAAGAAACGACAACGGGATGGGAAAACGGAGAGTCCATGCGAGAAGACGAAGAAGAAGAAACAGAAAGGTGGAACAAGTGCAAGCGGGTTCAGGAAGAAGTGCAGCCCGAATTCAGTCATTGAGATACTGGATGCTAGTATTACACCGACGCGAGAGGCTATTCTGAAGAAGTTGGGTCTTGGATGTCTGCTCAATTTGAAGATGAAGCGATTTGATATCACCTTGTTGGGGTGGATGACTAGAGTTTTTGACGTGGATTCAATGTCCATAGCAATGGAGGATGGGGGCAGCTTTATTTCACTGTGGATGATGTACAGAGGGTATATGGCCTCCCACGTGGCCCGAAGATGGTTCCTGAGATTGAATCTGAAATACATGGAAGTAAAGTTGAATCTGAAATACAACTGGGAAGAATTCCATTGGCGACTGGTTACAAGCATAAACAGCTATGAAGACACACATGGGGGGATCGGTTGTCTCAATTTCTGCGAGTTTTGGGAAGCGAGACTTCTTGGTCAATGGAAGAAAGAATGGCGCCAATCAAGTTATATGATGAACATGTCAGCACAGTTTGTTAAAAATTTGATCGACGACCCAAGTAATCTGAAGCGCGAAGAGGTGATGGGTAAAGCTTTTGAGATGAGGCAGGGTTTACTACATGGCTATACTCAGAAAACCCGGCAGTAGTTTCCCACATTTCCAGCAGTATGGTAATGGTTTATGTAAGAGTAGTATGAACAAAGTTTTAGTAGGTGTTGGCTTTTAGTTATATTTATTTTTTTAAGCCACTATTCGAATCCTTAGCTTATTGCCAACTGCAAAAACGACCTGCTGACTCTTTCCTCGTATATAGAAAGAGGTAGGGATAAATTACCACTAGTGGTCACCGCTACCAGAACTAGACTCCAGCTGCAACTAGTGCAACAATTAATCGTACGGATCACTTATAATGGTACATAACAGTAGTACATGTACCAGTAGCTATTGCATGTACCAGTAGCTACTATTGGGTACAAGTACAAGTGTCGTTCTGCTAGTGGGTAGGAGTCCAAGTGTCGTTTTTAACTATGCCCAGCAATGGTACTTACAAGTGGTACATGAAGTAGTAAATAATAGTGATAGGGAACCGAAACAACTACAGTTACCAGTACCAGAAACAGAAGTGTACAACTAACCGCACAACGTTCAATGCATCGTGTACTAAATCACATATGGAACATCTCAGTAGCATTATTACAATCAATATTTAGGTTTACTTTTTTTTCCTCTTTGAGTTCAGTTCCTTGTTGAGTTGTTTCCTTGCTAACTGACTTGCTATCAATATTTAGGTTTACTTTTTTTTTTCCTCTTTGAGTTCAGTTCCTTGTTGAGTTGTTTCCATTGTTTTCAGAATATGTTTGCATAACCATCCCCACGTCTCAAAATGATGGCAACTACATCTGAACTTCCGCTCTTCCATGTCGACGTGGACAATCCTCTCATCTGTTTTTTCAAACTTAGGACCCTCATAGCGGTATAGGCTGTAAGCAATCCAGGAATCTTCATTCATCTCCAAGTTTAAATCAATAGAATATCCTAGACTCATCCCAATCTCATTGTTGAACTGCCTTAGGACATTGTATGTGTAGATTTTTTCAACCTGTTTGCTGAAGAGGTGTTGTGAGTAACGCACGGGAGGTGCTTCATTCACGAGCTGGTATTCCCTTTCTTGTTCCTTTTCTCCTTTCTTGTCCAGCAGACGGTCAAAATGATCAAAAAATTGTGCATAGTTATGGGCTGACTTCAAATGTGTTCGTAGGGTACTATTGCAGCATTCACTTAGTTGAGAGCTTCTCATGCCGTTTGTCCTGTGTTCTCTCATCCCAAGTCTTGACCATTTATACCTGCGTAGCATTTGAAATGGATAGGACAATATCAATATACGTAACACTACATAGCAACACGTAAACAGGAATTGGCATGCGCTACCAGTGGTTTTGTACCACTGTATACTACTGGTACAAAAACATATGTGCGTCGCTACCACTAGTGAAGTACCATTATGCACATAACATGTTACTTACCGGTGTTTACGTAGCTTGGCGAGCCAAGGGTGTCCGTCAGGGCCTTTCCCAGCAAAATACTTATCAATCATTCGGTTCCACACATGATCAAATTCCTCCTCGGTGTCAACGTTGTACATGAGACAATTAATTTCAGTCTTCAAGTTGGTGTTATAACTTTGCGGCCCAAGATTAGTCATCCCATTCTGGTGTATATGCCAGGTGCAAAGTGCGTGGTATGATTCATCAAAGACCTCTTTAATTCCTATGGCTATAGCTTTTGCTTGATCTGTGAAGATCGATTTTGGTTGTTTGCCAGACATGCATCGGAGAAAACTATGGAATAGCCATGAAAAAGAGGCAGCAGTTTCGTCGTACATCAACCCCGCTCCAAATATACACAACTCTCTATGATTGTTGAAACCAACAAATAATCCTGAATTAATTGGAATGAGCAACAGAAGTACCATTAGTTCACTACCAATGTTAGGTACCAATACCATTAGACAAGCAAGTGGTATCAAAATCGTAAATACGAGTAATCAACTACCAATGACACGTACCTAAAGGTCTAGAGCCTTGGTTCGTCCTGTAGGTCGTGTCGAAACTTATTGCGTCACCGAAGCACTCATAATCAAACCGCATTCTGCCATCCGCAAAAAATACAGTCACAATTTCATCATCCGCATCTACTTGCATATCGTAGAAAAATGATGGGTCACATTTGGTCCTCCTCCTGAAATACTCGTGAAGAACGCGCGCATCACCTTTCGCCATGCGTCTGTTCCTTGCCTTTTGTGTACAATTTTTTAGATCCCTCTGTGTGAATGGGAGATTATCCTTCCCCCCGGCCGCAGCAGCAAATGAATCATAAGAGTTTTGAACAGGGATCCCCGCACAATCGTTTATTTCGGCAAAGTATGCATATTCTGCCGTTACCTCACGATTTGAGCGCATAAAACGTCTTGATAAGGCATTGTGCAGTTCATGATCATGCTCGTCTGTCCATTTGTAAATTATGTAATTACCGGCTGGGTGCTCATACCTGCACAGAGCAACAGCTTGACAACCAAAACGAGTCTCCCCCCTTTCCCTTTCTTTAGGAAGCTCTGAGTCAACGACCTCCTGATGATTTTTCGGATCCAGCCTGCTGTTTTTTCTGTACCCTCGTTTACTACACTCACCTCCAAAATAAAATATGAATGGTTCTGGAAAGTATGACCTTTTCTTCTTCACCGCACCAACAACTCTTGACGAGAATCCTCTTCCATGAGCAAAACACTTGTAAAAGCGATTAAATTCATCTTGATTTTGGAATCGCAGGTGCCTCCAAGTTGACTCATCTACTGGGATGGCAGTTGATACCGCATCTGTAATTTAAACAAAACATTAGAAGTGACATTATAGATGTACACGTACCACTATAAAATATACTGACATGACATTACTACCACTAGATTTCTACCACTAGGCCATTACCACTAATTCAATAGTGGTACCATTATGTGTATACCACTAGATGCCTACGACTAGATTGCTACTAGTAATTCACTAGTGGTATGGTACCATTATGTGCAGACCACTACATGACTACCACTACCAAAGACGTACCATTAAGCGACTACCACTCTAATAAATACTACTAACGAGCTACCACTACTATAATACCACTACATTAACTTCACATGTTCACCGTACCAAGAATGTTACCGCCGACGACATTCATCGTGCTGTCATCATTCTCTTGAAGTGGTGGGGCGACCTCAGCCTCGAAATTGTCGGTTTTATCAGCGTTCACTTTCTCCGTCTTCCCGTTCTGCTCCGGCCACTCTTCGTTGAATAGTTCCTCATCGGCACCATTATCCACCATGATAACATCACCACCATTCTCCGCCTCTTCAGCTACCGCGTTGTTATTGAATATGTATGGGACTTTCAGGTCGACCCGAACGAAACCAGATTGTTTAGCTCTGCCACGATCAATGCTGTCCTCGTGGTTCTTGTTGACGTCCATTGTCTACGGTCGGCGGCGACGATGTATTTCCAAATAAGTGATGCAGACGGTTATTGAATGGGAAGATTCCAGGAATTGAATGGCAATAGACGTGGATGTAGTTATGGTTAGTTTCAAACCATCCCCCAAATCGCGTTCAATATATTTTTCCAATGAATTTATTGTTAATTTTCAAAAACAATTCATTAATATAGTTACACAAAAGCCCTTGCTCTTTTTTGAACCATTAGATGTAAACGGAGGATCAACGGCTGGGAAGTGGGAAGTGAAAATCACAACCCCTATGGGGGTTGTGACGGTATCCCGTGCCCAACCGCCGTTATTCGACAAGTTGATGAACGCCAAGCTAAAAAAGAAGCCCATGGTTTACGGGCTATAAGCAGCAACGGTCCTGGGCTAAAATTTTCGTGGGTTTTGCAGGCCCAAATCAATCTGGCAACATAATTTCATTTCAGGGCTTCAGGCAGCCATTGAAGCTCTCTCAACTCTCAAGTGTTACTCTCTCGGGGAAGATGCCGGCGGGACGATTATCATCAATGGCTGCGACGCTCGCTGCGGCTCTTCCATGGCGGACTACGCCTCTATACTTCATACGCGTCAAGCCTTCTCGACTTAATTATGGAACCGCCATCTTCCACTCCAGAAAGCTGGCTCTCTCTTTCTGCTCCAACTCTGAGGTCGCTTCCGAGCTAACCATCCCTATTCCGGAGGAATTGCCGAAACGTGTAAGCTCGTTAGCTGGATTAGTCTGTAATTAGCTCAATCTCTTTGGAATTTGAAGCATTCAGAATCTAAAATGAACTTGGTGTACGGAAATGTGGCTTGCCGCGTTGATTGTTTCAGCAGAGTCCCCTGAGTCCTGGACTGTACTTGGTTGGAACGCCGATTGGAAATCTTGAAGATATAAGTTTCAGGTGTTGTTTTGAACTGACGAATTCGATGCTCCTTGGTTTCGATGTGCCTTAACTTCCTGTATTTTGAGCTGTTATTGAAGCTGGCTAAGTGAATTTAGCTTAGAGCTTGTGCTAAGAGCTTTTGCTAACCTAATTGCAGGGCTATTCGTGTCTTGAAATCGGCTGATGTGATACTTTCGGAGGACACGAGGCATTCAGGAAAGCTTCTCCATTACTACAACATCAACACTCCTCTCGTGAGTTTGTTTCATAGATTGGTTTGCTTATAAAATTTTAGTGTATTCTTAGAATTGTGGAATGGTCTTTCCCCAATTCTAATTGTGTGCTTTAGGTTTCCAGTTGAGCTACCACAAGTTCAACGAGTCGCAAAGAGAACAGACTGTGCTGAGGAGGCTAAAGCAAGGAGAAATCGTGGCACTGATCAGTGATGCTGGCATGCCAGGCATTAGTGATCCTGGCGCAGCTCTGGTAAAACCCATTGTTAAGCTTAGAACTAGCTTAAACTCTTAGGTAAAGGGCTCTTTGAAAGTAATCAACTTGCGAATTTGGTGTGTGCTCGGTGTGACTGTGTAGGCAAAGTTGTGCGCTGATGAAAACATTCCTGTCATACCTATCCCTGGGCCTTGTGCTCTTGTAGCTGCTCTATCCGCCTCTGGCTTAAATACCGAGGAGTTTACATTTGGTACTCTTATTCTTCTGCTGAACACTTCCTTCCCCATGACGTGCATTATGCCAGCATTAGGATTCTGGATTGCTAAGCCATATAATATTTTGTAAATGCTGTTGCAGCTGGATTCCTCCCCAAGCATACTGGGTCCAGGAGAGAGAGATTAACAGCTTCAGCTAAGGAAGCAAGAACGCAAGTATTTTATGTTCCACCACACAAGTTGTTGCAATTTCTCGAGGAGGCTTCATCTACATTTGGTGACTCGAGGTATCGTACGTTCTCTTTCAGTTTCATATAAGTTTTATGCGTCCATGATGACACAATGGCATTAATATTCTGGTTTATCGTTGCTGTTCTATCGCAAGGTGTAAACTTTACTTGACCATTGAGATATCGCAATTTTTTTCTCCCCAATTGAAGTTTGAACTGGATATATGATATTGCAATATTTGTAAGCCAGAGCTAGGATGTCTTTGTTCATAGTGAAAATCTTGAATCACTTGCCGGGTTCTGACGGTGCATTTTCACTGCATTGCAGGCAGTGTGTCATAGGCAGAGAATTAACTAAATTACATGAAGAGGTGGGTTTTGCTTACGACTTCTAGCTGATAAGTTTCATAGACACTCATCATCATGCAAAGACAATGCGTTACCGCGCTTACGTTGCTTGATCTAAATTTTATCAGTTCTGGCGCGGTACACTTGTGGAAGCAAAAGAAGCGTTTACGAATCGTGTAGCAAAGGGAGAGATAACGCTGCTGATCGAAGGCAACAGCAATGCCCCGGTAGAAACTCCTTCGGATACCCAGCTTGAACACGAACTGGGGCTCTTGATCTCCCAGGGGCACAGCCTCTCCACGGTAAAGCTCCATTCTATGTCGCGATGAGTTGAGCTTTCAAAGCGTAAACTGAACGATTTGGATCGAGATTCCCTTAACGGGTTTCTCTGTTCTCGTTCGTTGTCTTGGAAGCATGGTTATCCCTCCCACTAACATGTTCTCGTTTCAAACTTTCAGGCAGTCAAATTGGTAGCTGATGGATCGCCGGTGAAGAGGAAGACGATCTATTCTCTGGCCTTGCGGAAATTCGGAAAGCAAGAAGAAACAGAGGAATGAATTGAGTTATGCCTCCTTTCTGTTTTTCCTCTGCCAGTGTAATGTTGTTTTCCTTTTGAGCTAGTATTATAACTTGTAACATCAGTAGCTGCTCTGTATCCTGCCTTCGGAGGTGGGGTTAGTTTAGGTCGAAACAAGGGTCGAGGCTGATCGATTTATTCTCTTCATCGAGTCAAGATCGCGACTTAAATCGAGGATGAATCGTGTAAAACTCAACCATGAAACATAAAAAGCTTCAATAGAAGCCAACCACATTCCAATTCCAGGAGCAAAAGTACTACTACTACACTACTACATTGTTCTTTCTCCCTGCTTAAACACTACCACCTCAGCATATTCCCCTCCCTAATTAGTAATAAACAATTAATTAATCAACTGCTTCCCTTACAGCCTAACTTCCCCTCCATAGAAAAAAATATGTACAGAGAGATAAGAGATTGAGCAGATATTCCTACGTCAGTGATAAGATTGCGGTTGCAGCAGCAGCAGAAGAAGCAGTACGTAACGTAACCCCTCAATCCAGCGGTGGCGTAAAGGGAGAAAAAACAGAATCGCACTGTGCAAAAAAGAAAGAAGAAGCAGGGGGTCTGTTACTCTGTTTTGCTTTTGTGCCGTCACCACGAAGCTTTCCCCTTTCTCACCAAAGAAGCAGCAGCAGCATCAGCAGAATCAGGTACGGGTTTGAATATACGCTGGCCAGTGGCGAGAATACGGCGAGGATCAAACGACGTCTTCCGCTGATTGAAACGGTCCCACTTCTCCTCCCCAAAGTGGGCCGCCCATTCCCGTTCCGTTGTGTAGTGAGGTAAGTACTGCTTCATTTTGATCCCCGACTCGTCGCAGAATCTCAGTATCTCACGGTTCTGATTGCTCAGATACTCCAGCGTCTTGCCGCTGGAGTCCTCCACCGCCGACCTCAGCAGCGCCACCAGGTAGAACACCTCCTCGTCTCCCTCCGGCGTCACCGCCGAGCTCCGGTCGTCCCACCTGGCAAAGATAATAAAACCCACATTGTAAATTCGGGGTTTCGAGCCACAAAGTCAAGAGAGCGGGTGATTGTCAAATTAATCCTAGGCCCTAGCTGGATCCCGAATGCAAAATACATTCATAACGAGTAGTATTATGTCATACTATAAGTACTGTTATTATTGAAAGAAGAGATTAAGTATGCAGATGTAGCTGTTATTCATAGCAATCCGAGTGAGATAAGGATAAGCTCGTGTCAACAACACAAAGATGATGGACTGAAGTGGAAGCGAATACAAGTTTGGAACTAGACTGATATTTCACCATGCGATGTCGTTTTATCATTTTTCATTTCTTTAATCTGTTGAAATAGATATTCGTTATGTAATAACGAGTCCCACTTAGCCACGTGTCCTGTGCGGGTTGATGGGACTCGAATGGTGGTTAATCACTGTTGATTAGCCGTTGAATGTCCTATATAAATCGAAAACCCTCACTACAAAAAATTTTTGGTTTCATCAACCATTTTCTCAGCGTCCATAAGAAAATGGTTGCTGATAACTAGATTTTTGGCTACCATTCACCAAATTGGTTGGTGATGCCCATCCACCCAATCAGACTCTCTTTCCCTTTCCTTAGTTATGAAATTAAACAGAGTTATATTCTTTATCGAAATGAAAAATATCAGATAATTTTCGTATTAATATTAGGGTTTTTGGTTTTTTTCTTTTCCTTTGTGTCTGTCTGGTCTTTTTCCATCCCTTTCCCTTTTGCATGTGGCCCACGTGTTCCCATAATTCTCCCCCCTTCTATACTACGTGTCCTCCCATCGTCTCTGGACCACGGCGTCCTATTGCTAGCAAGTTCTAGTGGTGGGCTTCTCCCTCGAAAATAATTCTCGTTGTTTCGTTCTTTCTTGTATGCAATGAATTACAACAACAAAGAAGGAGAAGAAGAAAGGCCCGTCGTTATCAAGCCAAAAGGACTGCTTTAGCTATGGTACCGTAAGAAAAATGACCAATCGTGTAAAAGGACAGCCAAAAAAAAAAAAAAAGTAAATGGATAAGTAGATGCATGATGAGGTTAAAAAAATATTTACTGACGACATATAAACACACGTCAACCATATCTGAACCGAAGCTGTGCTTATGTCTATCAAAATATATGCATGTGGAATCTAATCCTCTTAAAAAGGAGCAAAAGATGAGAATATAAAGTGGGCAATTAGGGCTCGAGAAATGACTTGCATGTTCCATGCATGCAACGCCATCATTGCCAAGCCCGATAACAACAATAAACAAGAAAGGAAAAGAGTTAATGTTGCTTTTAAATTGGAGTACTGATGTAATGATGTAATTAACAGATGGACTTACTTGCTTTTGTTCATAGGGTAAATGAGGATGGGGCCGCTGGTCCTGTTGTTTCCCAAAATGCCCTTGAACACGCCCTTGTCGAAGTCGTCGATCCTCGACTTGGGGACGAAGAGGTTGAGCCAAGGGTGGGGGACCTCCCAGAGGTTCTTCGCCCGCAGCTTCAGCTCGACCTTGTGGACTCGGTCCAGGAAATCGACATAGGGCAGATCGGTCGTGAAAACCGACGCCGGTATGAAGTCGAGCTCCTTCATCAATGCCTCTATTTCCTGCGCGAGTTAATTAATTGTAATTGACAAGGTCAATATCAATTCAATAAAGTAGAAAATTTCAAAAACAAAATAAATAAATTGGAAGTACAGGGGAGGAAAAATAAAGGTGCTAGCTAGTTAGCCAGATTTGCTTTTGTCATATGATAAAGCCGTATATATATCTGATTCCCCGTATAAGTTTAGTTCAGAGGAAAAGGCCCAAAGCATGTAATTAATTGAAATCTTAAAAGTAATTAATTGTATATAAATTACACAAGGGGAATAATTTTGGTGGGTAGCAAAAATAAGAAATGAAAAAGCACTGTTTACATCTTATAGGATCACATGATGATGGAACTATGGATTGCACAAGATCTTCGCAAATCTAATTTCTTTTTCATAATTAAATGGATGCCTTATTTATTTATTTATTTATTTATTTTGGAAGTATAATAATTATTAAATAATTGAGTTGTAATCCTCATCCTAGCTAGCATCATCATCATGGTGTAACCTAGCTAGGAGCATATAGCTGGTTTGCAACAAAAGCCCTGAGATCACGAAACTATGTTTCTGATGATGATCCCTTTTTTTCCTACTATTTATTAATCAATATTTAAAAAGTAGACCAATTAAAGGAGAACAAATAATAATAATAATAAAATTATAATGAATTAGTGGGATGGGTGATACGTACAAGATATTAATAATTCACAACAAATTCTTTAACTTGAAGCCACTAATACTACCCACTTCCATTATGTAAGCTAGCTAAGCTCTAGGGACGTATTGCTATCACTTTTACTTACATGTACACACAAACTCCTTTAGCTTAGGCCATTAATTAACCAATGAGTTAGCTACCTAGCTAGCTAGGTTGTCGTGTACCAATAATTCAAAGTTAGGTGAAAGAACATTTTTTTTTACCTGGTCGACAGTATCAGCAGTCGACTCGCGGTAGTTCTTCGTGACTTCCAAGCAGTAGAGGACCCCTCCGTCGGTGCCGAGGGAGGAGATTTTGACAGGGTTGCGAGGGGAGAAGAAGGAGGACCTCCAGTTGTTGATCAGCCCTTCATCCACGATCACAAACCCTTCCACGTAGTCGAACTTGTTCCGGCCGTCTCCGTGCAGGGAGATCAGATGCTCCTGGTCCCTCGTGAACGTCGAGAAGTTGGAGTACAGAACCCTGATCCATCGCACCTGCACATACGCAGTTAAGTCGTCGTACCAATTCAGCATCAAAACCCTGAAATTTCCTATAGTGAAAAAACAATTATGCAAATAGTAGTACACTACTAAACATGGAGGGGAGAGGGGGCTAGCTAGGAAAGAAAAGGATGTGTCAACAACATTTGCCAGCTTTAGAACAACCATTTGAAATGTGTAGAGAGATTTGCAAATATACTCTCTCTATGGACCCAACCCCAAAATCAACCCCATTCTCCAGCCGTCCTACACAATATTTTCTCAAGTGGCAGCATGTTGGGGGCCCATATCGATCATCAATTAACGTTTGTTTGTTTGTTTGAACGGTTCCTTGTTGTCTTTCAGAGTTTGTTTCTTTTTTTTTGCTTTGGTCATTAGCTAAATACTAGGAAAGTGTTTGTTTCCCACACACTAGCCAATTAAATTTGACTAGTCGTCCTATATGGGAATATTTGGAATTCTAATTTGGCATGGAGCTAACCATAAATCGATCCTAACCCCAAATTATTTGGTGGTTAGAGCGAGATACAGAGAGAATAGTTTAGTTTAGTTTTTTTTTTTTTTTTTTTTGCGTCGTAACGTTCCAACGTACCCTTTGGGGAGCCGGTTCGACCGCGATTCGAGCCCGAGTAATGATCCCAAACTGCCCTAACCCACCCAGCACCGCGTGGAACAGCTCCTGGTTCTCTTCTTCCGAACACTTCACCATCTCCCCTTTCCCTGCCAAAATATCACCGATGACGTGGTCATGTGGATTTATTAGCTTACTCAACGTGACGTTACATTAAAGAAAAAAAAAATACATGCAATAATAAGTTAATTAATGTAGAGTTAATTAAGCGAACCTGTAACGACATCAAGCTCGTGAACATTGCTAATCTGCGGGCCGTGGTTGAAAGCCTGTCCGCTAATCCCGGCATTGGACAGCGTCCCGCCGACCGACAGGTACAAGTAGTCCGTCCACGACCTCGGCGCCAGCCCGTGTTCCAAACACGCCCTTAGCACGTCGATCCACAGCTCGCCTCCCCACGCGTCCACGTACCTCATCTCCTCCGCAATCCTCGGCCGCGGTGGGCCCTCCCTCCTCACGCCATCTGCGTGTCCTTCTGCCAGCCTGCTCATCTCGATCACCACCCCGCCGGCGGTGTTCGCCTGCCCGTTGATGGAGTGCCCGTGTCCCCTCGCGGACACCGCGGGGAACCCCTGCTGGTACGCCGCTCTAATCAGCTGAGCTATGTCCCTGTCGGAAGTCGGGTGGAAGACCGCCGCCGGCTCGACCGGAGCGACTCCTCCACGTAGCATCCCGAAGTCAGAGGAGGCTCTGGCGAGGTCGGAGGGATTGGTGCTGAGCTGGAAGTCGTTGTTGTTGCCGTCGTTGAAGTCGAGGACGGTCGGTCCTACGACGGTTACGATGAGGCGGCAGCACATGACAACTAAGAGGAGCTTATTGGCTGCGGACATCTTGAAAGTGATGGTGGTGGTGAAGAGAGAATTGTTGTGGTGGTGGTGGACGGTGGTGGTGCTCTACATGCAGAGAGAAAAGAGAGAGAGGAAGAGAAGGGAAGTGAAGGGTTTGAAGATAACGAGGAAGATCGGGGGAGCAGAGATATATAACGTATCTTCTGGTTTGTTTTAGTGCATGATGAGTTGAACGGACTTTTTTTTTTCTCTGCTTTTTTTACTTTCTGCTGCAGCTTCTGTGGGATATTTTATTACTATATGCACAAAGTTGGTTCTTGATTTATAGGACAGAGGGGGGAAAAGAGAAGGGGAGGGCAGCAGAAGAGGGAATGGGGAGACACGTGCGAGGAGGGGAAAGACACGTGTGGGGGGAGAGGGGAGCCATGCCTTGTTCTGGGCTAAGCCATACCTGTTGTTTGGATATGTAAGAGTCATTAGAAGGGTGGAAATGATTAATGTGAGTGTAATTAGTAATGGTTAAGACACCCCTACCGTATTGGTTGGTCAGATCGAAAATATAGTTGAATAATTACGGTTTTAGTGTGAATACTTTATTACTGACTTTTCGACATTAACCGCTGTCCGGTACGGTTTCAGAGTGTTAGATAATTAGTTGCATGTCGCTGGGTTTTGTGTGGATGGAATTTTTTTTTTGTGTTGGACTAGCAAGTAGGGGATCTGATACACGTGTATCGATTAAACTACTTAACAAACCTATTATGGTACTAGTACTTGATTTTGAATAGTTTGGTAAATATGTTGGCTTGTCGACATAAAGAGTAAAGAATTGGACATGCTTATTAGTTGATCACATACTTAAATATACCACTTGAAACTTAATTGTCAAAAGTTTTATATTTGAATCAAACTATAAGTTTGGTGTGTAGGCCATATCATATATATATGACCTCAGACCTAGCTAGTGAATATGGTTTGGGTAAGACTGGTATAATGCACTCAACATTTTAGTGTATTAAGGTGATTTTTGGACACTCAATCCTCGAATGGTCTTGCAAAAAATTGAATATGGTATTGATAATTAAGGAATTCGTATGATCATGGTGGTAAGTACGTATCAACGACGTAACCATGTCGAAATCCTGATGAACAGTTTGTTATCAAATCAATCGAAAAATCTGCTAAACAACATCCTAATGCTCTACAATATTTAAAAAACACACACAAAATTTATACAAAATTCAGCCTATCAAATGACAAGAAAAAATATCGAATCACATATATTTACAAAATTAATGATTAGTTTCTTATGTAACATGAAACGAAACTGACGATATTCGATATAGATAGTGAAAATGTACAAGAACGACGTGATCTAACGGTCATATGGTCAAGAATGTACTGTTTTTAAAGAGTTCTATTGAAGAATGGAGCTTGTTAAACTCATGCCCTAAACAAGATTTAAGAACTTGATACACTGCCCACAACTCTGCTGGTCACAGTACCATAGGACCTCTCTCTCTCTCTCTCCAAGTTGGCTGGCTGTACATGGAATAAGGAAAATGGAATAAAGAGAGACATATGGTACAAGCAAGAAGGCGATAGGAGGAGGGGATCGAGTACTGTAGCGTTGGCCCACAATTTGGATACGGAGGATCTTCGTGGGGACGTGAGCAATGGACAAAGGGACTTCACGTGGGCTAGTGAAGGACGTCGTCGATGATCGATAGGGATCCTCTGCTCTGCCTCTGCAGGACGACGACGACGACGAAGAAGAAACCCAAAACCAACGATGAGCCATGTTGGTTGTTGTTATATGTGGCGCTGCCTTTTGCCTTTGCCTTCACCCAATCACAATATGATCAAAAGACCCTCTCTACGTCTACAGTCATCATTTCTCGTCCTCACTCGCACAACACACACAGTCGACCCGTTGCTATCAGACCTTTTTTCCCACTCAGACATTGATAATTACTTCTCGTCGCGCAAAAAAAAAAAAAGAAGGTATCATTAGGACCGAATTAATGTTACATAAATTACATTGATTAACTTTTGTTCTAAGCATGATCAGCAAGAGCTAGCTATATAGCTCGTCGGCTCACAATCACAAGAAGTTAGATTTCCAGGAGCGATATTAGGTAGGACTTAGGAGCGACAATGGGTAGGTCGGGGTGGGTATTTCAATATCTATATATATCCCGTAACATGTTGGGTTTAGATCATCGGGGTATTTTGTCATGAGGTATGGGTCGCGGGGAGGAATAGAGAAGCAAACTATGACACTATCATTGTAGTTAGATTATTCACGAAATTGAGGTTCTCGACTATTTACAACTTTATTGTAACTAAAATATGATGCAAAGAAAGTAAAATTACAAATAGTTTGAGTATAACTTGCATATAATTTAGACAAAATGGGTCAAGAATGGGGTGGTTAGGGCGGGTCATGTTTAGTGAAGTACTCATGCCCACACCACGTCGCCTCGCCTACCGGGCGAGTATTACATGCTTTAGAACAGGTCAAACAGATCGAGTAAAATGGGTAATGACGAAATTGTCATCTCTAATGATATATGTGTCATGGTTCAATTTATGTGGCCAGTCGGTCTCCCGAGTGATATATGTACATACCCATTGGCGGATCCAGGGGGTGGCCACCCCAGGCCCCCGACCCAGCTCTCCTCTGGATCCGTAGTTACTATAGTCCTTATGAAATTTTTGATTTTAGACATTTGACCTAGTGTTATTCTATGATAAGATTGAGTTTAACTAGAAAAATTATCAAGTTGAACATATTCAAATCACTACTTTAAATTTAGCCTAGAAATTTTATCCCCAAAGATTATGCGTCTTAAAAAAATAATGAAACCTAAAATTCTAAAAAGTTTAAAACGTAAAAGACTAAAAGAAATATGAAGTTTGTTCCCTTCAAAATTTACTAGAGCAACTGGTGTGCAGGGATGGAGACACAATGCAAATTTATTAGTCGATTGATTTATCTAGTGTTGATGCTTCTCGTTTCAACAGCTACTACGAAGAGAATCTTTTCAACAATGAAACATGTGAGAACTGATTTGCTCAACAAAATGAGCGATGAATTTCTCGCCGATTGCTCAAGTATTTTATTTGAAATAGTGTATACTATTGGTATGGATGTAGACTCCATTATTTATGTATTCCCTAAATTAAAATACAGTCATGTACAATTTACATTGCAAAAAACTATAATCATTATATTTATTTACGGTTCTAATTTTCTAATGAAATGCAGCCCATTACTCTTCTGTGTTCTGGATCCGCCGTTGTACATACCCATAAGTTTTGTAGTGGAACCTTCAACAATATTGATTTGACTGGATGCACCTCTGACTTATGGAGAGCAATGCAATGTTAGTACGGTCCACACCTCTTCGAACAAGGGTTTTTTTAGTTTTGGAAATCTATTTTAACTTAGAACTAATCCAATGAAGATTCCTCTAGAAAGCTCCGTGACTAAGACTACAACTACACCTATGAATAATCCTTCATGGAAGGAGAGCTGTCCACCTTTTTCCACTCTTCGTTGGAGCATGGAAACTTGTCATGCTACAACTGCTATGAACCCCTTCACCGTCCTTCAAGTGCAACTGACGCGAACACAAATGCATCAATGAAATAAGATCGATGTTATTCTCTTACAAAACACGTTCCAGGAACAACCTTGTGGCTAACCCATCAAAATGGTGTCCAAGGAATCTTGCGGCATCGTTGCACTCGCGGTACCGTTGATCTTGTGATATGGATAAACTGTGTTGTTTATCTCACGATTTTAGTTTAGGTAAATAACCTCGGCTTACCTCCATGGTATTGTCGAACTCGCCACACTGCTGAACTTGCGGCGTTGTTGACCACCACAATGTTTTTGGTAACTAACCCAAAATAAATTAGAGTAAGAAACTCCTACAACCCAACACATACTTATTCTAATTAATTTGGGTTGGGGGGGCCGCTATGCCAGAAGCGATAAAAACCTCACCACTCTCTTTCCTTTTACGTCCCCATGTCGCTCTTTTAAAGCCAATTGAATGCTTCAAATTAATCCATGTGCTATTTTCGAAAATTTTATTTTAGGTGTAAACACTATCCTCAAAGAAGTCTATCGTTTTGAGGGGTGTGTCAGTAAAATAAGGTATATGATCATTGATTCTGTTTAATTCTCATGGTATCTTCTGTTCAAATCCTGACGACTCCATATATTCTGTTAAGTACATGGTATTCGAACCTGTGCAAACTTCAAGCCCATATGAGTCACCTTTCTTTTGAGGGGTGTGTCAGTAAATGGTATATGATTCATGATCGAACCTCTCTCAACAACTCGAGTTATTGGGATCAACTGGCAATTGACAAATGGTCTCTTTGTAACTCAACGAGAATATGTGAAGGATCTCTTAGCCGAGCATGGGTTCGACAGCTACCAGCCTAGTTCTACTCTAATGGAACAAAATTTGTGTCTCAATCGAGCGAGTGAAGGCCTCCTTGACGATCAAGCGTATTATCATACACTTGTGGGAAGCTTATGCTATTTCGGGTCCACAAGACCAGACATTGCTTACGTCATTATGGTGGTCGGTCAGTATATGGGTATGGCCCATACTTTGCATCTGGATGCGGTTCATCGCATCCTACGATACTTACAAGGGACCTAGGATGTAGAATTTTTCTCCCAGTCACCTGAAAACCTGTGCTCAAAGCCTATGAAGATGCAGACAATGTCGCCTTTCTAGACACACGACAATCCATCTCTGGGTGGTGTGTTCACTTGGGAAATTCCTTTATCTCGTAGAATTGCAAAAATCAAAAGCGAATATCTAATTCGTCTATTGAAGCTGAATATCGCTCTGCGTCTGAAGTCAGTTCCGAGCTTGTGTGGTTACAACAGTTGCTTGAAGAGTTAGACATTCACTCTATGTTGTTGATGTGCCTTTACGGGGTTAAACTCATATAGCAACCAATCCAGTTCTGCATGACCAGACCAAACATATTGTTGTCCTTGTTCACTATATTCGGCAGCTCGTGCAGATGGCACGATCCAACTTAGCTACTTATCAACACATGATCAAACTGCAAATATGTTGACAAAGGCCGTAGGCACAAGTCGTCATTGATTTTTGACAAACAAATTAATGTTGCGCAAGTATCGAATTTGAGGGTGGGTGCTAGATTTACGCTTGTATTTAGTTTAGGTACCTTTATGTATTTTTACTCTTTATAGGTAAAGTGCTAGGCTAAGCCATAGCTAGGGTTTC